GAACTAAGGAGGAACGATTTCAATTTAACAATAGTTCAAAGGAATAAAATGTAGCTGGCACAGTTGGCTTACACCTGTAATCCAACACTGGAGGGGCCAAAGTGAGCGAGGATGTTGAAAACAGGAGTTGCAGACCAGCCTGGGCAACATAGTCTTTTTATGGAAATATTTTTAAATATAGCCATTGTGTAGTCGGTTGGCATTGCCTTAGTCCTTAGCTACTCAGGAGGCTGAGACAGGCAGGATCACTTGAGCCCAGGAGTTGAGGCTTACAGTGACAACTATGGTCACAGCCACAGCACTCCAGCCAACGTGACAAGAGTGAGACCCTATTCCAAAAAAAAAAAAGAATAAAATAGGAATTACTACCATAGAGTAGTTTACTTGATTATGTTAACGAGATATATGGGAGATGTCACATAAGAGCTGTGTGGCGCAAGAGAATAAATTCTCTTAGTTTTATTTTTGTATTGTTCATTGCTGGTGTATAGGGTTTTTTTTGTGGATTCCTTAGGATTTTTTATATACGAGATCATGTCATTGGCAAACAGATAGTTTAATTTCTTCCTTTTCAATTGGATGTCTTCATTTCATTTTCTTGACTAATGCCCTAGCTAGAAACTCCAGTACAATGTTGAAGAGAAGTGATAAAAGTGGAATTCTTGCTGTGCAGAAAAGAGTGAACATAGCAGGCCTGAGACAATAATCCTTAGAAAGGCCTACTAATCGGGCTGCCAAAATCCTTTTGTTGTAATGAATCATAGCCATGAGTAGGACTATCTCCTGAGTCCTGTAATCCTGGCATCAAATCATTGAATCTGGTGTGATCTTGGGGAACCCTAATACAATTTTTGTTCCTGATTTTAAGGGGAAAGCTGCCAGTCTTTCACCATTACATATGACGTTAGATGTGGGTTTTTCATAGACGTCCTTTATCAGGTTGTCTAGGTCCTTTATCCTATCCTATTTCTAGTTTGTTTTTTTCTTTTTTTTAATCAAGAAAGGATGTTAGATTTTGTCAAGTGCTTTTTCTTTATTAAGATGATTATGCAGTTTTTGTCTTATTCCATTAGTAAGTTGCATTATATCAATTGATTTTCTTTTTTTTTTTTAAGTTTCTTTTTTTTTTAGTGACACAGTCTTGCTATGTTGCCCAGCTGCATTCATACTGGACTCTAGTGACCCTCCCACCGCAGCCTCCCCAGTAGCTGGAACTAAAGACATGGGCTGCCATGCCCAGCTATTAATTGATTTTCATATGTTAAAACCAAGCATTCCTAAATCACACTTGGTCTTGGACTTCTTCTATTAAAAGAGACACACATTTTAAAAATCAGCCGAACAAATACATAATTTCAAGTAGTGAAAGTGCTATAGGGATAAAAGAAAAAGCAGGGTAAGGAAAGAGAGAGCAAGAAAGACGGTGGCTATTCAAACTATATTCAGGGAAGGTTTCTCTGAAGCAATGACATTTGATCAGAGATCTGAATGACCTGAAGAAGCGAGACATTCAGAGAAAGATAATTCCAGGTGCAAAGACTAGCAAATTGCAAAAGCCTTGAAGCAGGAACCCGCTTAGTGTGTTTAAGGTACAGCTGGAAGGCCATGTGGGCAAAAGAGTGGAAATAAAGTCAGAAAGAGATGAGAGCAGATCATACAGGTACTTGCAGGTCATGGTACAGACATTTGGATTTTATTGTAATTGTGATGGGAAGGCACTGAAGCATGGTTTTCAGCCTTCTTAAAAGACCTTTCTCCTCGGTTTTCTGGCTAACTCCCATATGTCTTTCAAAATCTGGCATCATCTCCTCTGTGACATGTTCTTTAACATCCCTGATAAGATCAGTCCCTTCCTCTGTGACATCTCTGAGTAACAGTAGATTACTGACCTCTCTTCACACTCCTAGGGCCCTCATTTGTTTATTTTTTCACAGAACTGTGTCTTTTTCATATTTTACCCTCACAGTCTAACATAGTGGTGAGTACTAAAGAAACGTTTGATAGGCCAAGCGCGGTGGCTCACGCCTGTAATCCCAGCACTTTGGGAGGTCGAGGCGGGTGGATCACCTGAGGTCAGGAGTTCGAGAGCAGCCTGGCCAACATGGTGGAACCCCGTCTCTACTAAAAATACAAAAAAATTAGCTGGGCGAGGCAGGAGAATTGCTTGAATCAGGGAGGCGCAGGTTGCAGTGAGCCGAGATCGCGCCATTGCACTCCAGCCTGGCCAACAAGAGCAAAACTCTCAAAAAACAAAAAACAAACAAACAAACAAATGTTCGATAAAAGAAACACTCTAAGTCATTCAGTGGTGCAAGGTGGGATTCCTTTCAGACCCCTAGTAGTTGTCGCCCTGGGAGGTCGGGCGCATCACTTTTCCCTCAGAGAAAGGGCTTGGGTCTCGGGGAGCATGCCCTGGCTGAGAATGCCTCCTAGGGGGAGATCCAACCTCCCAACCGTCAGGTGCTTGCTGTGTTCCCTTTGCACGACTTTGTACATCCTTCCAGGGTGGGACCTTGGGTGGCGTAAGTGGAGGAACCTTCAGGCTTCCCAGTTCCGCCTCCGAACACTCTTGGCAAACACTTCCAAGACCTAATCACAAACCCAGGTCCCCCATTTTCCTCCGTAACAACGGAAGTCACAACAACGATGTCCACTCCTGTTCAGGGGCCAGCGTCGTGCCGTCCACCCCACACCTCATCCCTCCGCTCCTCCTTCCTTCTCCTCCACACCCTCTCGGCACCGTGCCCCCACCCCTCACCTAGGATGCGCGTGATGCCCAGGGTGAGCTTCTCCAGGTGCGGCTTGCTGCAGCCCAGCCCCGGGGGCGACGCCTCCTCCTCCATGGCTCGCGAACCCGATCCGCGCGCGGCGGGAGCGGGTGGAGGACCGGGCTCCGCCTCAGCGCCGAGGCCAAGTTCATGGCATGCCGGGAACTGTAGTTCTCGGCGCCTGAGAGCGCGGCGCAGTGATGATGGGGGCCCGGGGTTGGTCTGACAGCAGCAGCTCCGCGGGGCGCTGGTTCCCGCGGCCCCGCCCGGTGCCCCACACCGCACCTCCGGGACGCAGCTTCCCTTTCGCTCCGACCCTCTGGCCCCGCAAGGGCCGGCCGCGCAGGAGGGGGCGGGCCTCTGCGTGGTGCGGCCAATCGGGACCGAGCCTGCAGGCCGAGGCGTGGCGGCCCCGGCGCGACGCCCCGAGTGGCGGTTGTTTCAAGATGGCGGACGTGGCGGGCCCTTCCCGCCCCGGTGCCGCTGCGTTCTGGAGCCGGGACTGTATCCTTTGCCCGCCTGACAGGGGGCGCCGGCGCCCTCCACGGGGCAGCGAGGGGCGAGCCGTCGCGTGGCAGTCTGAGAGCGGAGGAGAAGCTCCGAACTAACCCCGGGGACGAGGACGTGCTGCTCGGCCTCAGTCTAGGTGCTGGGCTTTCCCCTTGCTTGGGTGTTAGGTGGCCGAGAGACTGGTACTGTCTCCAGGTGCGGGGACACGGCGCAGATGCTTCCCAGCCCTCACTAGCGGTGAGCTCGAGAAAGATAGCCTAGAGTCCAGGCTCAGCCTGGAGCTGGGAGGGCCCTCCGAGGTCCCTCTGCCCACCCTCTCAGAGTGCCCCCACGCTGACTGTGCGAAACGAGCTCGAGGTTAAGGGAGGAGTGGGTGTTGGCTGGACAGGGAGCCTTTTTGTTTTGATTTAGGATTGTCCTTAGTCTGCGTTGGTAGGAACAAGTCAGGACCTTGTCGGACTTCAAAGGCCCTCCAGTGATGATGTATTTTAATACTGGGGTTTTAGGAGAGGTTTGGAGCTTGGTTACTGGGATGTGGTCTGGTGGTGCTGGTTACTGCGTAAGATGGGAATCATTGTGCCTGCAAGTATTGCTGACTTACGTGTAGCGTGTGGGTCACTGGCAGTCATTGAAGTTCTTGGATCGTTGTGAGGTGGAGAAGCAGTGGAACTTTTTAGTCCAGTGGTGGTATTACCAGTTCAGCAGCAGTGATGAGATGTTTGTGTGACAGGAGTGTTTCTTTCCATGGAGTAGGTAGACTCTTATCGCTTGAGCTTTGGTCCTGATAATTTACTTCACGTTCCTTAGAGGGGTTACTTGAGAGAGGGAGGGCAGTCAGTGTTGCTGAGCGCTTGCAGAGGCAGCTCTTTTTCTGTTGGTTAGGATTGGTGATGGCTTTATTTGAGGCGTTGTTGTCACCTTTGGCAGAATCACTCTTTGGGCATTCTTCTTAGCTCCCGGTAAAACTTCCAAAACTGTGTTATCAACTCCTCTGTTGAGTTACTAGGATTAGTGTCATGTGTAGAGAGAGGGATATGTTTGTATTCTGTGCTGCTCATGTTTAGTGTTTGCACTTACTAGACATAATTACCATTTGTCTCTGATAGGTTGGTGAAAAGGAAATGAAATCATGTACATACACTGTGGATAAGAGCATACTCGTGCAGTGTGCAAATTAAACATTTTTTCCTTTACCTATCAGAAGAGAATATGTGCACTGTGGACAACTTGGCTGAATTAGGAAGTTAGGAAATTGGGATAAGTCTTTTCTCAAGAAACGCTGCTTCTGCATTGACAGGATTTTGTGATGGAGGAGCTGCTTGAAGATTATTAGCTTATAGCATCCTATGGTATTGTTCAAATACAGAATCAGTGGTTGGGGGGAACAAGCTATTGCAGTGGGACTGAATAAGTTAATTAATAGATATAGGGACTGAACTTATGCTCTTGGTCTTCGCACCCAGTACTTTCACTTACTCATGTAGTTATAGCACTCCCTGTTTTATGTAGAAGTCATATATACTCCCTTATGTCCTGTATTCTGACTCCCAACATTTAATGTAAAATATTTGCCTTCTCATTGATAGTGAGGAATTGAAATTGTACAGGGGAAAAATGGTGGTGATTATATCCTATAAGATCTAATTCAGATGTATGAAAGGAATTGCAAGGTTACTAGTGTCACCTTTTCCCCCAGCCTATTCCACATAATGACCAGTTAACATCGAGCCTCAGATATTTTCATTTTAAATCTCCATAGAGAATGTCACTGTAAGCAATGTCAAATGTAAATTTGTTACTGAGTATTTGCTGAAAAGCATAATGATAGTTATTAATCATTTGATTTAGCTACATGTCTTTGGATCTTGATCCCTTTGTCATATTGATTATTTCCCAGACCACCCTAGAGCCTTTATAGTAGAATTTTCAATAGAAAAAGACCAAAAAGTATGTACCTATAATCTGGTATTCTTTTCACACTATTGAAAAAAGATTTTCAATACTTCACGTAAATAATTAGAGAAATGTGATGGAGAGATTTCTTAGTCCTTGATGTTTCCATCATGAGAGGACAGATCATCTGTGACTGAATGCCCCCCGCTTTTTTTAAACTGTTGTTCTTGTGAGTTATGCATCTCCTGCACAGTATGATTCAGCAGTGCTGTTTTGCACAAGGTATGTTTTAGTACCTCATGTGTAAACAATGAGTGTGTGGGGTTGTCGTTTTATGGGTTAAATCTTCCAGCAAAATATGCTCCTTCAGTTTAAGTTGGCTTTGACCTTCGTTACAGTTCCTAGTAATGTCAGAATGAGTTAATGTTTCAGCAGTACCTAAATTTGACTGCTTAAATGCACTCAAGTGTATTACCATTAACAGTATCAGGGACTTGATATTAAAAAATATGAACTGCAAGTTACTTGGTCAAAACATAACAATATAATCTCTACTGTTGAGTTTTCAAATGAAAACAAAGACTTTATGTTGTGGTAAAAATAATATATTAGCCCAGAAAGTCTCTGTGGTTGAAAGTAATTACATATATATGTATTGCTGGTAAAACTCAGCAGATTAGAGTAGAATGGGCAGTACTGAACTTATTTCCTTCAAATCCTGGAGGTCTGGGATAGAGGTACATCTTCCTCTCTACCACTTCTGCCTGGGTTTCTGATTACAGTTAGCCCTCTGTATCTGCTGATTCATTCAAATGTGGATAGAAAATATTTAAGAAAAAAAAAGAAACACAACAACAACAAAAAAACCCAAATTAAACTATACAATTTAACTATTTGTATAGCATGTACATTGTTTTAGGTATTATAAATAATCTAGAAATGACCCACTAGTAGGCCCACTCTACATTTGGTATATAATGTGTCTGTTTGACTTCCCCATAAAATATACATTTGTTGGGAAATTCTACATTTGAAGGAGGTAAATATTTGAGTTCTTAATATAATGAGATGAAAATACATTACAAATTATTAGAAAGGATAGAGGCAATTTCAGATATCCTTATTTAAAAAAATTGAGGTCGTCTATTTAGAGTTTTATATATTCGAAAAGAAGTTTGGCATGGATGTAGCTGAAAGTAAAAGATTTTGTTGGCCGGTTGCAGTGGCTCACACCTGTAATGCCAACGCTTTGGGAGGCCAAGGCAGGTGGATCACGAGGTCAGGAGTTCAAGACCAGTCTGGCCAACATGATGAAACCCCGTCTCCACTAAAAACAAAAAAATTAGCTGGGCGTGGTGGCGGGTGCCTGTAATTCCAGCTGCTTAGGAGGCTGAGGCAGAGAATTGCTTGAACCTGGGAGGTGGAGGTTGCAGTGAGCTGATATCGCACCGCTGCACTCCAGCCTGAGCAACACAGCGAGACTCTGTCTCAAAAAAAAAAAAAAGTTTTGTTTGCATATTTTGAATCAGAGAAAAATAACATTGAAGGTTGTTGGACAATGCCTCATAAAATTAAATAAATACTAATTTTATTCTTTCGTAGATGGAGCCAGACATTCTTTTGTGTTTGAGGGTACAACACTGAACAAAATAAAACATAAATCATCACCTTCTTGGTGCTTACATTTTAGTGAAATGAGATCAGGTCATGGATAAGGAAAATATATGTTCAATGATTATTGGTGCTGTGGAGAAAAAATAAAGCAGGAAAGAGACAGTAGGGGAGGTAGGTAGGTTGTGAGAAGAGAGAGTTTTGCAATTTCAGGTACCTATATGGTTAGGAAGTGAAAGCTTCAATCAGAAGGTGACATGACATGACATGTGACATTAAGTCCTAAAGTGAGCCATGAAGATATTTGGGGAAAGAGCTTCCTGGGTAGAATAAATCATACATGCAGAAGCTATAAGGTAGGAGCTTGCATAGCTTGTTAACAATTGTAAGAAAGCCAGGAATGAGTGAGAGGAATAGTAGTAGGGAGTGAGATCAGAGATGTAACAAGTTATAGGGATCAGATCTTGAGCATGGTAGGCTGTTGTTAATACTTTGGCTTTTAATCTAAATTAGAAATGACATAAGTATTAAAATGATCATTCTAACCACTGTGGGGAAAAATAGGCTATTAAGAGAACATGCCCAGAAGTGACAGAGAGCAGTTAGGAGCTTATTGCAATAATTCTGGGAGAGGAAAAGTTGAGTTGGATCAAGGTGACAGTTGAAAATGGTGTGTTATAATCATAGCCTGTCTAAATTTCTCCTTTCGAAACTCACACTAGTTCTTTCTGTCTTAAATTTCTTCTACTTTTTGAATAGTAGGGCTTCTTGGGATATTTTATGAATGCACCGTAGAAGATTAAATAATGTCTTTGTGTTTGCATGATTGACTTGCCCTCAGCGTTTTTTCTTCAAAGCTAAAAACCATCTTGAAATTATTTTCTCTTCAGAATTGTCAGTTCCCCAATATGACCAAACTGGAGCACTTAACTTTTTGTTTACAAAAGGAAAGGGAAAGGAAAGGAACCTAATAGTAGAGTATATATTGCAGGGTAACCCACTTGAGAGTGGATAAAAGTTTCATGGAACAAGACCTTCCAAGATTTTTATAAGACGTGTAGTTGTAAATATATAAAGGTGAACTTTTAGAGAATATTAATTTTGTTACATTTAATTCAATTACTTTGCTTTCTAACTTTGTTTTTAAAAGTTAGTTATAAATTCCCAGGTCAAAAGAAACTATGAATTATAAGAGTTATACAGAACAGAAATGGCATTTGGATGCTGGATAATATTATTGTATTTTCCTTCATGTTCTCCTGCATAGTTTCTGATGAAGAGCAATCAGTAGTGTACGTTCCAGGTATGATTTTCTATGTTAAAATTTGGGAAACTTACTTTGGTCCTTAAATGTTAGAAGAAAATAAAGCTGTTAGAACAGTGTTGCAGGTATAACTAACTGGATGCAGAGCAGTACATCAAAACCTAAAATTTGTTTTTTGAATATTTGGCATAACCCTATTAAGGTTTGAAATACTGGCTTATCTTTGGGATTGGCTGGCCCAATCAGCTTTTAACGAACTTGTAGAACATTTCATGTGGTAAGGGGCAAAAGATTCTTTTCTTATTTTTTCTTTTACAAATGATAGCCAAATTTAATATTTCAAAGAAAAGTATGACCGCTGCTTGATACAGGGTATATGTAAGAGACACTTTGAGTATAATGGTTGTAACTAGATGGTAGTAAAGCAACTATTTAAGGCACCCTCATTATATAGGGTGAAAAATATAGATTTCCCCTAAGTTAACGTATATTTAGCATATTGTAATTTCTTGGTTTTAATGTGACTTATGAACATTAACAGTACCCTTTGCAAATATTTCAGTTAAGCTGGACATGGTTGCTTGATCCTGTAGTTCCAGCTACTCCAAAGGCTGAGGTGGGAGGATTGCTTGAGCCCAGGAATTCGAGTCCAGCCTGGATACCCTGTCTCTTTAAAAAAATAAAAATAAAAACAAATTTCAATTCAATCTTTAGTGTATTTCTTTAAAACATATTCTTTTTATGATTCATATATTAAGAGCTTTAAAATTAAGTTTATAAAGTATAAAGAGTTTCTTCCATCAGGTCCCTTAAAGTAGAGGATTACAAGGAAGCAGGTGATGGGGGATGGTTTAAGATAATCAGATGTAATTTTGAAATCTTGTTTAATGGAAATCCTTAGGCATTTCTACTGAAGGAAATGTCAGATCAAGACACAAGCTGACAAGTCCAAAAGCTGATGTTAAACTTAAGACTTCCAGGGCGACTGATGCTTCAATCTCTATGGAGTCCTTAAAAGGCACAGGAGATTCAGTAGATGAACAGGTTAGTATTTTTTTAGTCTTTTTTTTCCTTGTTCTTCAGTCTTTATGAGTGCTGACCAAAAAGGGTAGAAGAACCTTTGGAAGTATACTAGGTGATAAACAAACATTCTTAAAAGATACAGGGGATTCCAGGATCCTTTGGTGATGCCAGGTTTGAGCCTAAATTATCTAGATTACTCAAGGATTTTGCTCCAAAACATATGACTTGCTTTAAGCATTAGCCATGATGATGTATTATCTTGATATGTCTCAAAAGAACTACCTTCTGATCTGTGTGGCATTAGTAAATCAAACTGACAAGAATTGCTTTTTTAATTAGGCATCTTTTTGATTTTTATTCTTGTGAATTTATTTGATAGACGAACCCTTTTACATAAGAAAGATACATTATTAAAGAAAATTAGCCCTTATTGTTTCCCTCAGTTGGAAAACAGTATCATAAAGATTATTATTTTTGAATCTTTATGATATCTTTATCTTTCTTACTATTGCTATGCCACATTATTGATTTGTCCCTTGTAAAGATGAGTGACAAATCAATGACTGGGCATATTAATAGTATCGGTGCATTCCTTTGGCACATGTCCTATCTGACCAGTTTATTTTACTTTAATTTTTGTTATGTTTACCGTCTGCAACTAGAGTTATTCAGTACCACTTCACACTCACTAGGATGTCTACACAAAACTTGTATATGAATGTTCTGGAATCTATAACCTGTGGACCAAATCCTTCTCCTGCCTGTTTTATAAATAACTGTTTTTTTGGAATACAACTGTGCTCATTGTTTTACATAATTGTCTATGGCTGCTTTTGTGTTACAATGGCAGAGTTGCTACAGAGACTGCATGCCAACAAGCTAAAAACATTTGCTATCAGACCTTTTATAGAAAACCTTTTTTAGTCTGTGAATTATGTTCTCAAAGATATTTCCAGTGTGTCTTTTATTACTACAGGATTTTACTGTGATTGAATCAAAAGGCCTACTTTATGTTACTTGTACCAGTGTACTCACTTCACACTGGGGTGTGAATAGTTGAATTTGCAAGTTTTTATCAAAAAAAGTTAAAAATGTTTTTTCACATAATGATTGATTTGTTTTACATTGAACAGTAGCCTTCTTTTAGATTAAGTTCATATTTTTGTCCTATTGGCTATAACTTTGGATTGAATTATTTCAGTGGCTTCTTTAGAGATTATAGTATACATCTTTAATTTATCATAGCCTATTATCAAGTGATACTTTTCCACATCACCTATAGTTTAAGGACCTTTCAACATTGTACTTTATTTCTCCCCTCCTGACTTTTTTGATATTGTTGTCATACATTTTACTTGTATGCAGAGACCCCAAAATATGTATTACTTTTGCTTTAAATAGTTAACTGGCCTTTTTTTGTCAAATTGAGATGTAATTTGCATATAAAATTCACCCTTTTAAGTGTACAATTTATTATTTTGATTTTGTGTGTGTTTATATTCACAGAGTTGTGGCTCCATCACCACAGTCTATTTTCAAAACATTTTTATCACTCTAGGAAGAACCACCATACCAATTAGCAGGCACTCCTCATTACCTAGTCATTTCAGCCCCTAGCAAACACTAATCTGCTTTCAGTCTCTATAGATTTGCTTGTTATTGATGTTGCATATAAAAGGAAATCACATAATATGTTGCCTTTTGTGACTGGCTTCTTTGATTTAGTGTAATGATTTCAAGGTTCATCTATGCTGTATCATTACTTGATTCCTTTTTATGTCTGAATATACATTTTGTTTATCAATTTATCAGTCAATGGACATGTTCAACTTTTTAGCTATTACGAATAATTCTGCCATGAACATGCATATACAAGTTTTTGTGTAGACATATATTTTCAGTTCTCTTGTGTATATACCTGTAAGTGAATTGCTGTGTCGTGTAATTTTATGTTTAACCTTTTGACAAAATTCCAAACTATTTTTTAAAGTGGTTACACCATGTTACATTTGACTAGCACTGTATGAGGATTCAGATTTCTTCACATTCTTGCCAACATTTATGTCCGTGTTTTTTGAGGATGACCATCCTAGTGGGTGTGAAGTGGTATTTCAGTGTGATTTTGATTTGCATTTCCCTAGTGACTAAATGATGATGAGCATGTTTTTATGTGCTTCTTGGCTATATGTATATCTTCTTCAGACAAATATCTAGTCATATCCTTTTTTAACTGGGTTACTTGTCTTTGCTCTGTTAAATTATGAGTTCTTTCTAAATTCCATCTACAAGTCCCTTATCAGAGACATTATGTGCTAATATTTTTTCTCGTTCTATGCATTGCCTTTTCACTTTTTTATTGGTGTTCTTTGAAGCACAGAAGTTTAAGATTTTGATGAAGTTCAGTTTATCTAGTGTTTTGTCTCCTTTGTTTTGGTGTCATATCTGAGAAATTGTTGCCTAATCCAAGGTCACAAATATTTGTGCCTACATTTTTTTCTAAGAGTTTTAAAGGTTTAATTCCTGTATTTAGTTCTCATTCCATTTTGAGTTAATTTTTATATATGGTGTGAGGTGGTAGCTTAACTTTATTCCTTTGCATGTAGCTGTCCAGTTGTCCCAGCATTTGTTAAAAAAAACTGTCCTTTCCCTTTTACATTTCTCAGCACCCTTGTCAAATATCTGTTGACCATAAGTGCAAGGGTTTATTTCTGGACTCTCCGTATTCTGTTCCATTGATTTATATTTTTGTTTTTGGAATTAGGAAGTATAAGTCCTCCAACTTCTTCTTTTTCAAGATCGTTTTGGCTATTTTGGGTCCCTCTGTTTCCATAGGCATTACAGAGTCAGCAAATGTTTTATACTTTTTGATGTTATTAGAAACACAATTGTTTCTGAATTTCACTGTTGGATTGTTTATTGCTAGTATATATAAATTCAGTTGATTTGTGAATTGATCTTGTATCCTGCAACTTTATCAAACTATTTCTAATCCAATAGTTCTTCTGTGAATTCCTTACCATTTTCTCTAGGTAAGATGAAGTTGTCTGTGAATAGAGATAGTTTACATATTCTTATTGGATGCCTTTATTCCATTTTGGATGCATTTTATTTTAATTGCCTTTTAAAGAAATTTTACAAATGCACCAGAAGTCTTTTAAATCTACGCATGTAGTTACAATTAGAAATCTCGTGATTTCATTCTTTTGCACGTATCCAGATTTCCTAAAAGACTTCCTTTAACATTGGTTCAGGTATACTAGGAAAGAATTTTTTTAGCTCATGTATGCCTAAAAAGTCTTTATTTCTCTTTTCTTTTCAAAAGATATTTTTACTGGTTATAAAATTCCGAGTTGATAGTTTTATTCATTTAGTACTTTAAAGATGTTGTTGCACTGTTGCCTGGCTTGTATTGTTTTTGAGAAGTTGGCTGTCATTTTTATTCCTATTTATTTTTGTGTGTGTATGTGTTTAAATTTGGCTGCTTTTAAGATTTCCTTCTTATCACTGGTTTTGAGCAATTTGGTTATAGTATACACTGGAGTAATTTTTTTTTTTTTTTTTTTTTTGAGACAGAGTGTTGCTCTGTTGCCCAGGCTAGAGTGCAGTGGCACGATCTTGGTTCACGGCAACCTCCGCTTCCCAGATTCAAGCGATTCTCCTACCTCAGCCTCCTGAGTAGCTGGGATTATAGGCGCGCACTACCACACCCGGCAAATTTTTGTATTTTTAGTAGAGATGGGATTTCACCATGTTGGTCAGGCTGGTCTTGAACTCCTGACCTCGTTATCCGCCCGCCTCGGCTTCCCAAAGTGCTGGGATTACAGGCATGAGCCATCATGCCCAACCTAACTTGGAGTAATTTTTTAAGTATCTGTTTTGTTTGAGGTTTGTTGAGCTTTTTGGAACTATGGGTTTATAGTTCTCATCAAATTGGGAAGTGTTTCAGCCATTGTTTCTCCAGATATTTTTGTGCTTCCCTCTTTCTAGTGACTTTAGTTACAAAATACTAGGCCTTTTGAGGTTACCATCTCAGCTCTCTGATCCTCTGTTCATTTTTTTTTCATTAAATTTTTTTTTTATCCTTGGATAGTTTGTATTGCTGTTGCTGTGTCTTCAAATTCGTTAACCTTCTGCAATGTCTAACCTGCTGCTAATCTCATCCAGTGTAGTTTTCATATGAAACAATGTATTTTTATCTCTAGAAGTTCAGTTTTGGTCTCTTATTTTTATTTACATCTTCCATGTCGCACTTGACATGCTTTCTTCTAGGTTCTTACACATATGGAACACAGTTATAATAATTGTTTCAATATTCTTGACTATGAGTTCCATCATCCAAGTCATTTGTGGGTAGGTTTCAGTTGAGCAAGTTTTCTCCTAATTATAGGCTGTATTTTTCTGCTTCTTTGCCTGCTTGCTTGGTTTTAATTAGATGTCACAAGACAGTGTGCATTTTGCCTTTTTCGGTTCTGAGACAGTGATAAGTTATTTGGAAGTAATTTGATTCTTTCCAAGCTTGGTTTTGAGCTTTTAAAGGTGGTGCCAGAGCAGCTTTTAGTATAGGGGTAATTTTGCCCATTGTAGGGCATACCCTTTTGAATACTCTTCGTGATGCCCCTTAAATTATAAGGTTTTCCACTTTGGTTGGTGGGAACAGACTGTTCTCCTATGCTGTATTAGCTACAGACATTGTTTCCACTGTTCATTTTCGACTTTTTCCCTGGGATGAGTAGTTTTCTCACATACATGTGCTGGCCAGTGCTCAGTAGCTGACGCGTAGGGATTATGCAGATCCCTGGAGCTCTCCTATACAGCTCTATCCTTGCCATTACTTTGCCCTGCAAACGCTAGAAACCTTGGCTTTCCTGTACTCCCAGCTGTATCTTTTCAACTCAGGGAGATTGATGGGCTTTGTCTGGGTTTACCTACCTTAGCCCTAAAACTCTCCACAGCAGTTAGCTGGGACAGTTGTAGGGCTCACCTTGTTTGGCTCTGCAGTTCCAGTGATCATAATTCTGTGTTGCCTGCTATCCGCTGAAAACTGTTGTTTCCTGTCTTTTGTCAGGTTTTTGTTTTGTTTTCTGAAACTAGGGTAAATCTGGTTCCTGTTACTCCATCTGGGCTAGAAGAGGATGTCCTACATAGGGGGTATGTGTGTCTGTGTATGCTTTTTCTTAAGACTAGAAATGGTGATGTGCTTTTTTTTTCCTTTTTTTCACTGAAAAGCATGTCTTGAGATTTTTTTTTTTTTTTTTTTTTTGACAGAGTCTCGCTCTGTAGCCTAGGTGCAGTGGTACGATCTCGGCCCACTGCAATCTCTGCCTCCCGGGTTCTGATTCAAGCAATTCTCATGCCTCAGCTTCCCAACTAGCCAGGATTACAGGAATGCACCACCATGCCTAGCTGATTTTTGTATAAATAGAGACAGGGTTTCACCATGTTGACCAAGCTGGTCTTGAACTCCTGACCTCGTGATCCACCTACCTCGGCCTCCCAAAGTGCTGGGATTACAGGCGTGAGCCACCACGCCTGGCCATCTTGTGATTTTTTTCTGCATTGTAGTCTTTGTTGGTATTGATGTTCAGTATCCTTAATTCATTAGCATTTCACAGTGGTAATTAGGTCAGTTCAAGTCTTCTGGGAAGCAGACCGCAAGATGGAATTAGAAATGGAAGAGATTTAATGAAGGAAAAGCCTATAAAGCATAAAGAGTAGAATGAGCAGGAATAGAAAAGGGGAGTTTTCAGATTTCACTACAGTCTAGCACCTGTGACAGGAGAGGAAAAGAAGGAAGATTGACTAGGAAGAACCTCAGACTTCAGATTGCCGTGCAGTCTGAGATAGTGTCCATTTTGCTAGTGAGGAACCCCAGAGCAAGTACTGACTTTTGAGGATGCCATATGGATCAGAAGTAGCTCAGTTCTAGTGTCTCTACTGTTCCCAGTCATTGGCATTGGCATTGGCATGAACACTGCAGTGGATCCCGAAGGTTTGGCAACTGGAGGCTGTTAGCTGATTATACTCTGCAGCAAGTTCCTCTCTTTTGTGGCCATATTGCTTTATTTTTCACAGTTAAACCTACTATTCATCAGGAAGTAATATGCACGTGTAGTGTAAAGTAAGGGTCACAGTCATTGCAATTTAGAGGAGAAAAAAGTCTTCTTCCCAATAGTTGGTCTTGGGCCCATAGACTGCCAGTATTGGGTCAATAGACTGTCAGTATTGGCCCAACACCATCTATTGGGAAGAGGATTCTTTTTCTCCTCTGAATTGCAATGATGCCATTGTTCTAAGTCAAGTGACTGTAGATATGTGGCCTTTCCTTATCATGTTTTCCTCTTTGGTAATTCCTATCCTGAACTTTATGTTTATAATTCTTTTGTTTTTCTATATCAGGGGTTGGCAGACTTTTTCTGTAAATTGGACAGATAGTAAATACTTTAGCTCTTGCAGGCCATAATATTTGTCTCAACAACTCAACTCTGCCACAGTAGCATTAAAAGAGCCATGAGCAATATGCAAATGAATGAGCATGGCCATGTTTTAATAAACCTTTGTTTACAAAAACAGGCAGTGGGCCAGATTGGGCTTGCAGCCATGGTTTACCAAGCCCTGTCCTATAGTGTAAATATATTTTTTTGAAACAGTGTTTAATTTCATATATATTTGGAACTTTATATAAATGAGCTCATATCCATTTGTATTGTGTGATTTGCTTTTTTATTTCATATTGTGTTTTTGAGATTTCTTGTTTTTTTTTTTTTCCCCCTCTGTGGCTCTTCCAATGTTATGTGAGATTTCTTTATGTTGTATGTAGTTATATTTCATTTCTTTTCACTGATGTCTCAGGGTTTAGTCAGTTATTTTAACTTAGAATATTTAAAAGAAAAAATTATTGAATAGTGCTAGAGAACCAAAAAGGCAAAAAGGGAACATTAAGGTATCATGAAAGTAGTAACTGTAAGAAGCACCCACAATCTCTAGTACTGGATGAGAGGGCAGAATAAGTTGGAATTATTGAAACTTAAAAGCTTAGAGGAGGGGCCCCTTAAAGCTGCAGCTTGGACCTCTGGTGATGGGACACTAACCTGGCTGGTACCGACATTCCTGAGGAGGCCTGATAAAGGCTGGTTCTGTAAGGGCTGGAAAAAATTGCGAACTGGAATCAGCAGTACTTGCCAGGGTAAGGAACTCAGGGGTGACACTGTCAGTAACAGGAAGGAAATATCCTTCCTTCTTTCTTCCTGGTCTTCATCTAGTTCTTTGTGTTGGCAGGGTTCAAGAAAGCACCGGGTGGCAAAGGAGAAATGGTGTTTCCAGAGTCTTAGCCTTAGCCTCTCAAAGCAGAGGATGGAAGGGTAGTTTTGAGGGGGAAAGTTAGTAGCATAATTACTAGTACCTCTAGAATTTCATTGTATCAATATGCCAGCCACGGTTTTACTATTCTCTAGTTAATAGACATTTGTGTTTTCAGATTTTTGCTGTTGTAAACACAATGCCGCTAATTTTTTTTTGCCCGGGTACAAAGATTTATCTTTTGTTCTTTTACTCAGCGCATCACTAATGAAATTCCTTTTCATGGGTTATCGGCAACTTCTTCCATTGCCAAATCCATTGCCTTCTTCCCCCAGTCTGTCTTTTTTGATCATTAGCACTGTTGAACCCACACTGTTCTTGAAACTTTTTCTTTCTTGTTTTCTCCTACAGTGTTATATGCTTCTGATTCTCCACTTGTCCTTTCAAATGCTGCTTTAAATTAAATTAAAATCCAATTACTTAAATTGAAATTAAAATAAATGCCAATTTTCTTGGACTTGTAGATGATTTTTAAAATACTAATATTGTTTTCTTAATTTTAAATACATAGTTATTAATGAAAAATTTAAAACATAGAAAAGTATAAAGAATAATAAAAAAAATCTCAACATTGTCCATAATACCATACAACTGACTTTTAAATCTTTATGATTTTCTCTAGCTTGAAAGCTAGACCTACCTTTCCAGCTTCCTGCCTAGACATTTCCACATGAATGGCTTGCTGGCTTCTTACATTGAGCATTTCTAAAACTGAACTTATTTTATTATTATCTTCTTTTCTCCATTTTTTTTCCTACTCTCTTACCCACCTTCAGCTATTACTATTTCCAGAATTCACTTTAGGGGTTTTCAGTTATTCTCGGCTACCTGAGGTAATTGGACTAACTTAACTTTGGTGGTTGTGCAAATGCCAAGGATTGTGATTGTAGCTCCTTCCTTTTACATGTTACCTACGATTCCTTTGTGACTCCTTGAGTTTATGTCTCTTTAAGGACTTCTCTTAATGATGCTGAGGTACTGGGGAAAACTTTTTGTAGCACAAAAGATTAGAATAATATGGCGTTTCAATTAAAGAGCATAGACTCTGGAACCCGTGTTTGAGTCTTGATTCTGCTGTTTAATTGCTATAATCCTGGATATGTACCCTTAAAGTAGAATAGGAATAGTAACTATTAATACTCAATAGCATTGTTATGCAAATAAAATGGAATAGTAAGTACAAAGTACTTAACGATATTCCTGGCATGCAGTGAGCACTAGATGTAATTGTTAGCTATTGCTATTATTACTCTTTGGTTTAGTACTCTTTGGGGTGAACATTAGGATATTTTGAATGCTTAGTAACTGGTGCCTCTGCTGCTAATGTTAGTATACCCTTAAGCAGCGTGGGGACTATGGCGTAATAACAGTTCTCAGTATCTTCTGTTGAGTGTTTGTTTCTATGACATTCACAAAGGGAAAGTTGTTTCCCTAATGTACCCTAGTATTTAAGTGGGGGACATCTGCGTTTAGTTTCTTTCTGTTTGCTTCTCTGTGTAAATCTCATGAAGTGTCCTAGTGGACAGTCAGTTCCTTAGCCTGTTTTTAGTTCACAGTAGGTTTAAATTGAAACAGGTAGTGTTCAACCAGATAAAAGATATCTAAGAAATTTCACCTTGAACCTAGGTTTCTTGAAAAGACTTTAAAAATTGGCTTTAGAAAAAGTGTAACTAAATTTTTTTTTTTTTTTTAAGAATTCCTGCAGGGGAGAAATAAAGAGTGCATCACTGAAGGATTTATGTCTTGAAGACAAAAGACGCATTGCAAACTTAATTAAAGAATTGGCCAGGTGAGATAAAACCTTATATGAAATGATTTATTATACAAAAGACAATTCTTATTGAAAACAGAAAATTACAAATATATTTTGATGACTTAATGTCTTTGATCTTATGGTAGCAAAGAGTTTTAGAAAAAAGACATTCTGTGATGCCAGAATCCCCCCAAAAAGGTTAAAAAACAAGCATCAAAAGCAAACTACTTTCCAATTTACATTTTCTTATTTACTTAACTTTCCAAATTTTTTGATGCAAAGATTTGTAGCAGTTATCTATTAAGGGAAATTTTGGAAACTACTGTTGAAGTAGGTTGATACTGTTGTAACCAGAGGCATAGCAGTTACCTTTGATTTTTCGTCAGCATCTGAAGAAAAAATATTTCACTCACAAGATTATCTATTGTTGCCTTGCTAACTCCTAATGCTTTTCAATTAATGGATTTTGAATTTTGATAATGATATTTCTCAGCTCTTTGGGAGTACTATTCCAGTTTATTAATGATGTGTATGAGGCACATCTACTTTGTACGTGTAATTTCTTTGTCAGATATACATCCCCAGTTTTGGGGGTCTTAAAAAGTACTTAATAAATGAAGGTATCTGTAGAGAAATGGATGAATATAAATTGTAAAAGTTAAATTTATGGAGAGACCATACCTAAAAGTTGATAAAATAGTACTACTTTTTGTCAGTGAATTGCAAATAAAGATAACAATATTAGGTATATTTTGAACGTATTTCGTGTTGAAGCCTTGACGTAAAGTTTGTAGAGGCTTTTAAAAAGACTGAAGTTAAAAAATTACCTTACTCTAAATCATAGAATCATGGGTATCAAAGATGACTATAAAAAAGTGATGTTTTGGAAGCCAGAATATAGGGTGTGAGAATTCAAAGTACATGCCTTAGTCTGAATTTGATATGCTACCTGAGATAAGTAGTGATCTCTTTCATTAGAATTCTTTGGCTGGCCTACTTTCTAAAGTAGAGTTTTCATTAACTTCAGTGTTCTTTTATTGGGAAAACATTTCATTGTTATCCTCAGTATTTGAAGATGATGTTCTTGTGAGGCTATTTAATACATAATAAGTCCTTTGATGAGGAGTTATTAAATATATTTTGATGGTATTGAAAAGTTATTGCTATTTGTTTGACTCTGTTTGTTAATGGTCCTAAGTTTCCATTATTGTCCTCCTGACCCATTTTGTTTGAGCTGCCAAGCTTGGAGAATACCTGCAATATTAGAGCATGTCATTTTGGTATTTAATAACCCTCTCTTCCTATAAAATATGCTAGGTTTTCTTTTTTTGTAATTTCTTTGTAGAAGGTCAGTGTGTTAATACAAGGTCAGTGTTAGTAAAAATCTGCTTATACTGCTAAAGAATCCCATTATTACTATATTTACTGTTAACATACAAGTATATGGGAATAATGTGTTCTTGATTTCTTAAAATTTGCTGAGTTTCCTCTATTGGATATTTCAGTCTACTTTGTCTACTTTTGTCTACTCATACTTTGAAATTGTTTTGTTTGCTTTTTTGCTTTTTTTATTTGTAAGACTGTTCGATTGACGTGGGAATGTAGAGAACAGAATCTCATATAAAGCAGTGGCAACAAAACATTTCCAGTTTTTATATTCTTTTCCCTCAGAATTTTCAATCTGGTTTGAAATAGTTAAATATACTTATGTCTCTTTTATCTTAAAAATGCTGCTTTCCCTATATATTTCCCCCTCGTCACTGCCTTCTTTGCATTACAAGACATAACCTTTTTTCTAGAAAGAATAGTCTATATTATTTTCTACTCTGTTGCATTTTATTTTTTTATCAAGCATACTTGCTTGCTTATCAATCTATTTATAAATATGTCAAAGTGCAATTTGCATGCAATAACATGAACCAATTTTTATTTCAATGAGTTTTGACAAATGTAAGATATACAAGATTTCCTTTTCATGATATACAGCATTTATGTTACTCCAAATAGTTTCCTCTAGACCTTTTACAGTCTGTTTTCCCTTTCTTCCCCATCCCAGTTAGTTTTCCCTTTCTCCCCCATCCCAGTCAACCATTAATACAGTTTCCATTATTATAGTTTAGTTTTACATGTTCTGGTACACCACATAAATGGCCACACAGTATATACTCTTTTACTGTCTTTTTTCCCTCTACCTAATGGTTTGGATGGGGGGTGGTAAAATACACCTAACGTAAAATTTACCATCATAACCATTTTTAAGTGTACAGTTCAGTGGCATTAAGTACATTCACAGTGCTGTGCAACCATCTCTACCATCCATCTCCAGAACTTTATCATCACAAACTGAAACTGTACCCATTCAATAATACCTCCTCCTCCTCCTTTCCCTCTTGCCCCTAGTAATAACTTCTCTGTGTGTCTCTATAAATTTGACTAATCTAGATAACTCATATAAGTGAAATCATACAATATTTGACCTCTGTATCTGGCTTATTTTACAGCATAATGTTTTTAGTTGTTTTCAAGTTGTTGTGTATGAGTATTCATTTTTTATTGTTGAATAGTATTTCATCACATGTCCATACTTTAATTTGTTTATCTCTTCATCTATTAATGGGCATTTGGGTTCTTCAGATTGTTGCCTTTTATGAATGAAGCTTCCATAAATATTCATGTACAAGTTTTTGCACGAACATAATTATTTTTCTTCAGTAAATACTCAATTATATGTTAAGTGTGTCTATAACTTTATAAGAAACTTCCAAACCGCTTCCCAACGTGATTGTGCCAATTCACATTTACACTAGCAACTTATGTGAGTTCCATTATTCTGTGTACTTATCAACTCTTGGTATTGTCATTTTAAATTTTAGTGCTTCTAATGAGTATAGTGGTTTCTCCTTGTAGAATTAATTACTGTTTCCCTGGTAACTAATGTGATTATTGGTGTGATAATCACATTATAATAATGTGACTAATGTGTCATTCTTCCTTTGTGAAGTGTCTGTCAAATTTTTTTCCCCTTTTTTTCACCCATCATGTTCTCTTTTTAATATTGAGGTATTAGAGTTCTTTATATGTTATATACATGAGTTGTCAAATATGCATTTTATTCTCAGTCTGCAGCTTCCTGTATAATTATCTTAATGTTTTCTTTTGATAAAATTTTGGATCTTGGTTTATGAATTTTTTCCTTTTGTGGTCCATGTTTTTAGTGCTCTGTATATGAGATCCTGCCCATCACAAATTGCAAAGTTTTTTTTTTTTCTATGTTAGAAAAGACTTCCTACAGAATTACCTTAGCCTCCTTGTCAAACTCAATTGAACATATATGCATGGCTTATTTCTGGACTCTCTGTTTCATTCACTGATGTATATGTCTATCTTTATGCCAACACTGCATTGACTTGATTAATTTTGTATTATCTTAAAATCAGGTAAATCCTTTAGCTTTGTTCTTATTTTTGAAAATTGTTTTGACTCTTTGAGGTCCTTTGCATTTCATTGTAAATTTTAGAATCAGCTTGTCAATTTCTAACAGAAATTTTTTTCCTGGAGTTTTGGATGAAGTGTTTTGGACATACAGATCAATTTGAAGAAAACTAACATTATTGAGTCTTCCAATTCACACAAAGTTATTTATTTAAATTTTCTTTAACTTTTCTAGGCAGTGATATGTAATTTTCAGGTTACAGGTTTTGTTATATGTATCCTAAAGTTTTTTTTTTATGGCTTTTATACTATTGTAAATGGTGTTATTTAAAATTTTATTATACATTCAATTTTTAATTTTTTGATTGCTCATTTGAAAAAATAGATTTTTTAACATATATTGACTTGGTATCCTTCAACCTTTTAAAATTTGCTTATTATAGTCACTTTTTGGTAGAATACTTTGGATTTTGCGCATAAAAGATGTCATCTACAAATAAAAACAGTTTTGCTTTTTTCCTTTCCAATCCATAGATGCTTTTTTTTTTCTTTTCGCCCTTTTGCATTGGTAGTACTTCCAGTACAATGTTGAATGAAAGTGGTGAGTGGACATCTTTGCCTTTTCTTGTTCTTGATCTTAAATCTTTCACTATTAGGTACAATGTAAGCTGTAGATTTTTAAATAGATGTTCTTTATCAAATTGAGAAAATTTATTTTTGTTTCAAGTTTATTGAGAGTTTTTATCTTTAGTCATAAATTGGAGTAGAATTTTGTCAATTTTTTTTATCTTTTATTGCTGAACATGTGATTTTTTAATTCCTTTTTTCCATTAATGAGGTAAACTACATTGATTTTTGAATGTTTAATTTACCTTGTGTTCCTGGCTTAAGCCTCATTTGGTCATGTTTTGTTTGTTTTTATTTTTACTCTGTTGAATTGATTACCTGTTATTTTGTTAAATATATTTGTATCATCAGAAATATTTGTAGTTTTCATGAAATGTCTTACTATATTTTAATTAATTTTTAAAATTACAGTGAGATATACATAAAATTTACTATTCTAACCAGTGTTTTAGTGTACAGTTCAGTAGTGGTAAGTACGTTCACATTGTTGTGCAACCAGTCTTCAGAACTTCTTCATCTGCTGTAAAACTCTGTGTCCATTAAAAAACTTCTCATTACTCCTCTCACCAGCCGCTAGTAACCACTGTTCTACTTTGTATAGCCATGAATTTTACCACATCATTTAAGTGAAAATAGTATGTATGTATTTTTAATGTGGTAAAATACACATGACATAAATTGATCATTAGTGACATTTAGTATACTCACAGTTTTATACAACCATCACCATTTTCTAGTTCTAGAACATTTTCCATAATCCCAAAGGAAACTCTGTTCACCAGTTACTCCCCATTTTCCTGTTCCCCTGTGACTCTGGCAGCTTCTAATCTGTTTTCTGTCTCTAAGGATTTGCTGACTCTGGTTATTCTCTCTAACTGGAATTATAGAATATGGGGCCTAATATGTCCAGCTTCTTTCTATTAACATAATTTCAAGGTTGACTGAGTAACAGTTCATTGTGTGGATATGCCACATTT